TAGGAGGTAGAGGCAGGGAGCTCTGATCACTTCAAGGTCATCCTCAGGCACATAGCAAATTCCACTTTGAGGGCAGCTAGGACTTCATGACGCTCAGTCTCAAAAAAAAAGAAAAGTGCTCTTAGGAAAATTATAAACACTGAAGAAAGAAATTGAAAGAGACACTAGAAGATGGAAAGATTTCCATATTCATAAAGAAGCAGAAATGTGACCCACAGATTCAGTTCAGTCCCCAGAAAAATTACATAACATTCTTTCACAGAAGCAGAAAAACATTAAATTCATATGAAAGTTCAATTGAATTAAAGGATTCAGAAAATTTTCCACATAGCTACAGTCACCTGGTTTTCCATACAGACGCAAGAAATATTCACTGGAGAAAAGACCAGAACTCTTTGTAGTCCAGGCTGGCCTCAAACTCACAGAAATCTGTCTGCCTCTTCCTCCTGAGTGCTAGGGTTAAAGGCATGATCCACCATGTCTAGCAGAAAACTGGACTTTCAAATGTAGAAGAATGAACTAGATCCATGTCTGCCAGCTGCCTCCAAACCTAATTCAAAATGGATCAAAGATTTTTAATGTAAGGCCAGAAACCCTGAAAATGTTAGGGGAGAAAATAGGGAAATATTTGAAGATGTAGCTATAGTAAGGACTTCTGAAAGTGACTCCAGTAACTCAGGACATAATCCCGAGAGCGGACAAGTGAGGCTGCAGTGAACAGAATGCCTCCATAGAGCAAAGGAGAACACAGAGCAGTGCTTCTCAACCTTCCTGATGCTGCGACCCTTGAATACAGCTCCTCATGTGTGCCGAGCCCAACCATCAAATCATCGTCATTGCTGCTTCATAACTGTATCTCCGCTACTGTTAGGAATCCTAATGTAAATACCTGATATGCAGGATAGCTGATACATGACTCCTATGAAAGGTCCAGTTGACCTCCAAAGGGGCTGCAACACACAGGTTGAGAAGCACTGGTACAGAGTGAAGAGACAGCTCCAGGTTAGGGGTATACCTTTGAGAGCTGTACATTTGATAGAGGATTAATAGATAGACGATATAAAGAGCAACTAAATACCCCCGAGCAAAGTATCCCAAGCACTCTGGGTTAATAATGAGATGATGAGATCTCACAAGAGGTGTGTTGACTAGTTGATGTAAAGGTAAATACTTGTAAATCGATAAGGCATTTTGGAATTAATTACATTTATGCAAAAACCACTGTACTATAGGAAATAGTTCGAACAACTGAAGTATGTTTTAGATTTAGTGATTATAATGCCAGGGGTTCAAGCTTAAATGTTTCAATTTTTTACATATTTGAAGTGGGTACATTTGATCATTTGATATCTTTAGGAAGAACATTACTTTTCCTACTAAACTTCAGATAGAAATTACCTTGATAATTTATCATTCTGGAGGAGTCATACATTAAGTTTTAGACATTTTTAATTTTAGATATTCTCTGGGCTCTTTGTACAATTTCCTGTAGGAGGGTAAAACTGTGACACTTTATAATTACACACCCTCTTGAACACAGAAGATAGAGGCTTATAATAATTCAGCCTTGTTTGTGAAGTGGAAGCAACATTCAAAGTTATATTGAAAATTTATAAAATTATTACTTATTTAAGATAGTATACTAGTATTAACTTGAAACTGATGATTTTATAAATTTGCAGTTGGCAAAACTTTTACTCAATGTCAATTTATTTAAATATCAATTTACTTTTGAATTTTATAATATTTGCCTTTTTGAATATATTGCAATTTTATATCACCTTTTCTTACACAAGAAAAATGATAATCTTCTTTTAGACTTTCAAGAAATGTGGGGGAATTACTTATTTTGTTTTATGAATATGGGTATTTTGTCTGTGTCTGTGTAGGTAACACCATGGACATGCAGCACCAGAAGAGGCCAGAATAGGGCATGGGTTCCCCTAGGACTAGTGTTCCAGACAGTTGCTAGCAGCGTTGTAGGTGCTGGGAATCAAAACTGGGTCCTCTGCAAAAGCAGCCAGTGCTCTTAACTACTGATCTAACCCCTTCTTTTATATTTTAAAGGATTAGCTGGAAGAGATCATGTTATGTGATTATAGAAGAATTCGTTATAATAGTTTTTTATTTTTATTTATTTATTTATTTATTTTTTGGTTTTTGATTTTTCGAGACAGGGTTTCTCTGTGAAGCTTTGCGCCTTTCCTGGAACTCACTCTGTAGCCCAGGCTGGCCTCGAACTCACAGAGATCCGCCTGGCTCTGCCTCCCAAGTGTGCCACCATGCCCGGCTCTAGTTTTTTATTGTTAAGGTTTGTACTCTATTGATTTGTACTTTTTATGAAATTTTCCTTATGTATTTTAAATTTTCATTGATTTCTTTTTGTTAGCATCTTTTACTATTAAGCATATTTTATTTTTACTCAATTAGTACATGTGTGAATGTCGCTAATGTGTAACATGAATTCTAATAGGTCTTATAATAAAAGCCTGGTGCCAGATATTGGGGTAAATGCTGAAAGATCAGAGAGACAAAGGAACAAGCCACAGTTATCACCTCTTACCTCTAGGACTCCTCAGCCTGAAAAAGCCTGTAGCTGAAAGGGACACTTCTGCTGAAAAACCTTTAGTTCCTGTCTCCTCACGCCTTATATCCCTATCTCCGCCCAGCCATCACTTCCTGGGATTACAAGCATGAGATCTCAAGTGCTGGGGATTAAAGGCGTGTGATTCCCAAGTACTGGGATTAAAGGTGTGTGCCACCACTGCCTGGCTCTGTTTTTTTCTCTCCTAGACTTGAGTCAATCTCATGTAGTCCAGGGTGGCTTTGAACTCATAGAGATCCAAATGGATCTCTGCTCACGGATGCTAGGATTAAAGGTGTGTGCCACCACTGTCTGGCCTCTATATTTAATCTAGTGGCTTGTTCTGTCCTCTGATCTTCAGGTAAATTTATTAGGATACACAATGTATCATCACACTAATGTGTGTGGGTGTGCTTGTGCAATGGTGTGTGTGAAAGTCAGAGGACAGTTTGCAGGAGTCCTTTCTTACTTTTCTCCTTTTGTCACATAGATTCCCAGGATCCAATTCAGATCATCACGATTGATGACAGGCACTCTTATCTGCTGCTGAGACATCTCATTGGCCTATTAAGCATATTTGAATGAAGCACATACAACCCAGGGATAAGCGGGTTATAGGTTAAAACATTGCTTTATTCAAACTAAATAATACATATTTAACCCCATCCAGTATAATTCAAGAATATCCAGCCCCAGAGTGATTTACCAGAACTATCACTATGAATTCATAGACGAAGAACCTCTAAGCTTAAAAATTGAGAATACAATCACTAAGTCTCAGTTTCATTTTTAGCCACTTCCACCCTGCCCCCAGAACACACACATATTGTTAGATGGAGAGTTAAGCATGTGTGGCCAAGGACACTCCTGGTTGATCTTGGTGACTCCTGGATGGAGATGAGAATGGGTAGTGGAGTAGTACTGATGATTGATGTCTTGTTCGGCCTTTTCCCCAGTGGCAGCTTTCAAAGGTCTACACCTGAGCCTTTGCTGGTCAACATTTTACATAAATCACTGGAACCCTTAGATGGGAGCTTTTCAAAAATTTTAGTGACAGAGTCAAATAGAGATGATAATGTATTGGATTAAGAGAACAAACCACCTAGTCAATATAATCTCAACAACTGAAATACAAAATAAGAAAATTCACTCCTGCAAAAACACCAAGAACCAATATCAAAAACTGTATACACATCTCTATATATACTGTATATACATATAGATATATAGACTGTAGTATGGTGTTATTCAGGAAATAAAATTTGTTGAGAAATTTAGGCCAACAAGTTCAAATGGGAGACAGAGGAGATCTAGATGTAAGAGGTATGATTGTAAAGCTTTTACATAACACGGGAGAACATCTATTGACCCACACTCAATGATGCCAGACTCATAATACTGACCAAAAGATACACATTTTGGTGAATGAGTTTGATGAGTTGTATTTCATTAAAATTACAATCTTTCATCATTATGAGAAAAGGAAAGTGACAATGTAGGAAAATACATATATTTACATATATGCTCTCATCTAAAATAGACAACAAACCATGAAGAAATGAAAACAGATTAATAGGAACATCAGTTAGGAAAAGAAATGAATTGAAATCATTGGCAAGTTTGAAGATAGGAATATATTCACATCTAATAAGTATATGTAAAGAATGCAACACCCATTACTCCTCAGTGGATGTGAATTAAAATCACAATGTGATGCTAGGATTTGTCCACCATTGTAGCTAAAATGAACCAAAAGGGAAATTATCGTTTAGGACTCTCACACTACAATCAGAATCTGGTACAATTTTAAAGGAACTTGTGTATATAGTACTCAAACTGAACACATGGTTTCTTCTTTTCTAGTAGTTCCACTTGTAGGAATGAGCCTACCTGCCCACCCCCCCATGCAGAGATATTTCTAGAATGTTCATGGCAGCAATGTTTGTAGTAGTCAAGACGTGTAAAGTTCCAAATGGCTATCAGTAAGAAAACAGAAGAATAAATTAAATTAATATGATTAATTAATGTCCTGGATGATCTATAACTGTAGAATATAGTATGGATTGATCTCTCAAATATGTTTATTCAAAGAACCTGTTTCTTTTGTTAGAGAGAGGCTATTTACTCTTGAGAAAAGGGAAATATACAATTTACTCATGTTGCTATAGTAATTTTATTTAGCCCATCAGTTCGGCCAATTATTTGCCCTAAAGGGCTTCTGTTTTTCTCATCTGTAAAATCTGCAAGTCATTATTGAACAAAACTATGACTTACTGAGTTCAGCAGTTGGCTCTCCTATGCAGCATTTTACTTTTATCTTTTTTGAGTTTATATAGCTGAAAGACAAGTTTAAAAATTACCATCATTTGATAGTTGTATTCTCCTTTTACATATTGATTTTGTTTTTTCATTACAGGTCGCCAGAAATGGAAAGGAAAGTGAGCAGAATTTGTCTTACTTCTGAGCCCAACATAACTTATTTTCTACAAGTGTGTTGGGAGGGAACGGTAGGATCTGGTTTTGTCATTACACTGACGGATGGCCATTCGGCCTGGACTGCGACAGGTAATCTTGATAGCGAACGTGTTTCAAGTAAAAGTTAAATGATGTCCTATTCTTTAGGAACTCTTCAAGTTAATGTGTTTCTTCGTGGACACAGGTAACATCAATGCTCAATTTTCGCTGTTATGCATTTCTGATTTGTGTATAGGTCTGTAATATTTGATGTTATTTTCCAGACTCAACACTGTTTACAGTAGCTAATTCTGCTGGCTATGTCAGTCTTACAGCTTGGACTTAGTAATAGCTTTATAACAACCTCTTTACAGAAAAGCTAAACAACACTTTAAAATAGTTACCTCCTCTTGGGACCTGAGGAGGGTTGGGGACAAAGGATGTAGATTGGTTGGGGCCAAGAGATTCTGCTGGATTGTAGGTGTGGCATTCTCAGGCTTTGCTCTGACTTCATCTAGTTGTATAGCTTGTGTTACTTTTGAATGGATATGTACTGTGCTTCTAAGAAAACAAAACAGACCCACAGCCTAACATTGTAATACAAGGGTTACGTTTTTATGTGGAAATTGGGCAGTTTTATCATACAGACTTGTTTTGTGACAAGTTTTTACTGATCTTTTAAACTGTGAATGGTTCTCAAGTCTTCCATAGTATATGGCAGGGGAGCCTCTTTAGTACAGTGACATGTCAGTCTCAGATTATGGCAGGTATAAAGTTAAAAATTAGAATTATATTACTTTCAAATAACAAGATTTTAATTTTTTAAGTATTTTAACAAAAAACTAGTTTTGTAGTTACATAACACAATTATTTTTGGAGTTGTAAATGGTATATTAGATGAAAATTTAAGAGATCATTTATATACTATTTATATATTCTAACAAAGTTTCCCTAAGATTTATCACTATGATTATCTCTAAAATTAAAATCTATCATGAAATTCTGTTTAACTCCTGAATGATACAAATCCAGAACAATCAAAATGAATTCAAACTTACAGTTTTTTCATTTGTCTTTCACACAGCAAATGAGAAATGTTTACATTTCTGTTTTAGGAAAAAAAGGGATTTCAAGGGTAATGTGTGCAGTACTCCGTATGTTTGTTATTTGAGATGTAAATTTCTTGGTGAGAAATATCAGCTGCTGACTGCTTCTGGCGGGGTAGCAATGAGGGAGTTAGGTTTGTTATGCTAGCACTATGGAGTGAGTATACCTATGTGACAACTCTTGTTTGAAAGAGTAGAGAATGTGGATAGCTAAAACCATGGTAGTGGCTCTGTGTGGACCTTTGTTGCCCAAGTGGACTCAGCAGACTGTATTTATACATACATATATACATGCATATATAAATATATAGGCAGTAATTGGAGAAGAGAGTTTTAAGTATATCATAGTAGTTAGAAAAAAGAAAACAGGGCTGGAGAGATGGCTCAGAGGTTAAGAGCACCAGCTGCTCTTCCAGAGGTCCTGAGTTCAATTCCCAGCAACCACATGGTGGCTCACAACCATCTGTAATGAGATCTGGCGCCCTCTTCTGGCCTGTAGTCATACACACAGACAGAACATTGTATAAATAATAAATAAATCTTTAAAAAAAAAAAAGAAAAAAGAAAACAAATTGATCACTTCACAGTTAGCATGTTTGTAAATGAGAACTTCAGTTTCCTATTTATTTACATCACACATTTATTACAAATTCAGTACAGTCTTAATTTTATTCTCTAATAAATGTAATTTAGTATGACAGAAATGTGACAGGAGACTTCCTTCTGTCTTCCTGGTGGCATGTTGACATGTTGGCTTCCTAGAGTGACCGTATTTCAAGCATGGAATTTTATAGTGCAGTCTGTAATAATATATTTTCTCTACTATCCAATGAAGTTTTAGATTTTGCATATATTTTGTGCCTTGTATTATTCATTTATATCTTCTTGTTTAAATATTACGGCAAATGTGCAAGCAAATATTAAAATGTATCTTTGTTATGTAAGGCTCATTACATACATGTCATATGGTACTTTACAGACATTACACAATTAAGAGAATTGAAACAATTACTAAATGAAACATGAAAGTGGGTTTCCTTCCTATACCTCTTCCTGTGTTTTAGCGTTCAACTTTTTGATTGCTGCAACCTTCAATTATGGATAATTTTTTCTCTTTTCATTTAAATGGAAAGGATGTGAGGTTTGTTTCATTCTCCCACGCACTAAGCTTGCCCATTTCTTTCCCATTAGCAATGCTTTATCTAATGAATGTTTGGGGACCTAATTATCATGTGGCCTGTCGTCAATCCCTTCTGTATTACCGAGTGTTGTGTCACAGGGTATTTCACAAAGTGGGTTAATGATTGATGATCACTATTGGAAAATAATTGCTTTGGTAGTAAAAAACTTCTATCACCTATTTGTTGGGGGAGTGTCTTTAAGTTTGTTGGAGATTAATTGAAGACTTACTGATATTTTACTGTCAGATATTTATATTTGAGTATAATTTTTCTAAAACAGGTGTTTTGTGAATTATATGGAAATAACATTACAGAACTCATAGCAAGGCCTTTGTGTAAATAAGTGTCTGATATGAGGCCACCCATATTCTCAATGGCATAGGTTGGTGTCTTCTGCTCTCCAACTTGGCTTAGGATGAATGCGTGCAATCTTCACTTACACATGGGAACAGTCTACAAATAATATCAAAATAGTGTTTTTGGAATTTCTGCTAGTCTGAGAATAGTTCCTCATTTTTATGTTCTTGTTTGTCCTCTCACCTTTTGATGAAGTCGCTGAGCTTTAGTCTGGATGGATTTTATTACCATGTTTTCATTCCAGCCAGTTCAAGTTTAGAGCAAGGAATGCATACAACTGTGCTGTCATTCTTAATGTAAAAATAAGCTGGCAAATAAGTAATTTTTCCAAGATTGAGGTTTGGAGCAGACAAAGGAAATTTCATGTTTCTTTAAATAGGAAATATTTGGTCAAGCTTTGAAAAAAACAGGTTCCTTTTTCACATAATTTTTTTGTATGTTGAAGTTTTAAAAATTGAATTTATATTTGTAAACCTCCTTCTAACTTCAGCTCCTCCTGTGTCTTTCCCATGCCCTCTCAAATTCATGTCCTTTTCTTTACGTGTGTATTTCTCTATGTACATATAAATACAGTCTGCTGAGTCTGTTTAGTGTTGCTCATATGTATGTGTTTTTAGGGCTGACCACTTCTGATTGGATAACCTATCAGGGGCTCATCCCTGGAGAAGACGGAGTCTCCCTTTCTCAGCAGCCATAAGTTGCATCTAGGAGTAGGGACGACTTCTGAGATTTCTTCATCCAGACTAGATGTCACCTGGCATTGCAGTTATATAGGTTTGTCTTTAAGCAACCATGATATTGAGATTTTGTGGATGTAGCTTTCCTGTGATACATAGAAAACACTGTCTCCCAGCGAACATCAGGTTTTCTTGTTCTTAAAATCTTTCCACTCCCTCTTCCCCAATATTCCCCGAGCCTTTAATAAAGGGATTGTTGTGAGTGTATCAGTTGGCATTGGGAATTCTGCAGTCACTTGTTTTCTGATTTCTATAATGCTCTCTATCTTCTACAAAAAGAAGCATCTTTGATTAAGGGTGAACATTGCACTTACCTGTGGGATCAGGGGGATCAGGGTAAATATTTAGTATTCAGAATGGAGTTAGAAGTTACACTGGTTTAGGAAAGTATTAAAAGTAGATTCTCCTTTATTGTTCATGACATTACCAGATAGAAGTTCTTCACTAGGTTTACAATACTAGGTATAAATTCCTTCCTATTGAGTGAGCTTTAAGGTCAATTAGACAATTGTTGGTTTCCCTCAATTTAAGTGCCACTGTTGTACCCTTGGGAACATCTGGCCTGACTGTTCATTATTGTGGTTCATACCCATAACAGCTGGTAGGACTGCTGATTCCCTTTCTCCCTTGGAAGCTTGCATGGTACCTTCAGATTCTATAAGAGATAGTTCTCAGAGAAGATTTCCAGTTCAGTTTCTGGAAGGTTGACTCCTCCCAACCTAATCTGAAGTGTATAGAGTCTTCAGGAATGGAGTTGGTCTTACTTTCAAGTTCTGGAAGGCATTCAAGGGCAATGACAATAGCCTGTATTATTGGGGGTCTATTCAACTCCTCAGACCAACAACTTGAAAGGAGATTTCTCATGCCTGGCTCTGGAGATTTTGTTAATTGTCTACAGCTCTTGGAGGGCATTACCACCCTAAGTGATATCAGCTCATTTTGTGTGTGTGTGTGTAAACTGGGGAGACAAAAAGAGGACATACAAATATATGTATATATGCATGCATATATGTCTTCCTTTTGTCTCCCCAGTCAACTCCCCTTTCTATATTTTTTCTATTTCATTCTTCATAGCACTGTGTCCTACTATCCCCGTCTTTCTTGCCCCTGTGGTTCTTTATTACATACCTGGTGTCTGTCCTTATTCCAGGCTATATGCTCACATTTAAGGATACAAAACTAGGCTCTAGCTCTATAAGGAAGTGTGAACACACAGCATTTGTCCTTCTGGATCCGAGTTACCTAATACAGTAAAATATTTTCTAGTTCCATCTATTTACCTACAAATTTCACTGTTTATTTTTCTTTACAACTGAATAGAATTATGTTGTAAATATGTACATTTTCATTTATCATTAATCAGGTGAAAGAAGTTTATTTTCTTTCCATTTCCTAGCTCTTTTGAATTGAGCAGCAATGAACATGGCTGAGCAAGTATCTATAGAGTAGGATGTGAAGTCCTTTGAACATATGCCAAGGAGTGGTATAACTGGGCATGTCATAGGCCTACTTTTAGATTCTTTGAGAATTCTCCATTGTGTTGGTACCAGTATATATTCCCACCACATAGAGTGAGGCTTCTCCTTTCCCCATAGTGTTGTCAACATTTGTCAGTTGTTTTCTTGATCTCAGCCGTTCTGACATACATAGGAAAGGAAAATCTTTTCAATTCAGAGACTTTACGTAGATGTCCTTCACCAAACCAAAGCTGGGGGTAGGGTTAAAAAAAG